TTTTAATTCTAGATGGTCCAAATAAGTCCATATGAAGGAGTTCAAGGGGTTTCGTTGTAGAGATGATATTTTTAGATTTAAAAGAGACTCGTGTTTATTTACCCATTTGACAAGCATCACATAGATGATCTTTTGAAAATTTGATTTTGGGTAAGCCAATCACAAGGTCTTTAGATATGATTTTATTTAGCAAATCAAAGTTAACGTGTGCTAATCACCTATGCCAAAGCCATGAGTCTTCACTCATGGAGACTAAGCATTTAGCACCTGTTAGGGACACATCATTCAAGTCAAGCATATACACATTTTTTACCCTCAAGCCCTTAAACACATCCTCTTTCTTATCATTATGTTTGATTATGCAATCATCCTTTATAAAAGCAATTTTATAACCTTTGTCGCATAATTGACTAATGCCAATAAGATTGTGTTTAAGGCCTTCAACTAATAGGACATCTGAGATAGTGGTGGATGAGGGATTACCTAAACTACCTTTACCGAGTATTGCTCCCTTGTTGTTATCACCATAAGTAACAAATCCTTTCTTCTTTTCCACAAAGTCAAATAATAGCAAAATGTCACCCGTTATGTGTCTTGAGCAACCACTATCGAGAAACCATCTTCTCTCGAGAGGCTCAAGACATTCCACCTGAAATATCAAACATGGGAGATAGGTACCTAACATTCATTGGGTCCTTGAGTGTGAGTTAAACATTTTTTGCCTTTGTGGAACCATTGGTATATGCCTTTAGGAACTAAGAATCTCCTAAATCGACATTTACTAATGGTATGTCCCTTCTTGCAACAATATAGGCAAGACATATCTAAGTGAGATCTACTCTTGCTATCTTGATCCCTTACATCATAGGTATATTTTTGATAGGGATTAATCATACTTTTTCTGAAGTTTGAGCGATCGATAGCAAACGTAATCTTAGGTTGTAAAGCTTTGTCTAGTTTGGCTTTGAGAGTTCTAACTTCTTTTTGCCAAATATGACAAGTTTCACATCCATGGCATTTAAACCAAGGTCTCTCTTCTTTTTCACATTTTCCTTCAATATTTTCTATCATAGATGCTTTAAGAGCTTCTAATTCCTTTTCGGAATCGGAAACCTTTTGTTCTAGATATGAAAAGATTTTCTTGTTTGAGGCTAAGCGTTTGAAAGCTTCCTTAGCCTCTTGATGTAAAATATTGAAGGAATTTAACAATTCTAAGTAAGACATTTCATCAACATGATCATACTTAGCATAACTTACATTCTTTTTCTTATGATGATGAGCCATGAGACATAGGTTGACCATTTCTTCTTCATCACTTGAGAAACCTTTACTTGAGGAATCACTATCGCTCTCCCAAGCAATGTATGCTCTTCTAGCTTTGGTTGGTTTCTTTTGATTTTTGGCCTTGGATTTGTCTTTCTTCAAATAGGGGCAATCCAGCTTGTAATGACCGGGTTTGCCACAATGGTAGCATGATCCTCGTGACTTAGGCTTCTTACTTTCATCTTGCTTGCTTGGTTAAGAGTGGCGTCTATAATTGATGAGATTCTTATCCGAATGTTGAATTTCGTTTTTCCGAAGAAATCTATTGTATTTTCTTACGAACAGACCCATATCCTCATCCAGACTCTCATCGTCATCACTTAATTCACTTGCACACGAAATTGAGGTGGATGACTTCGAGCTTGAAGCCTTTAGTGCTATAGACTTCTTTTCCAAGTCCCTCGACTTTTACTTCTTTTCTTTCTTTTCATGCTTTCCAAGGCTTATGAGCTCTTTCTCGTGTTCTTGAAGCTTACCCCATAGTGTTATGAGATCCAAAGTATTTAGATCATTGGCTTCCTTAATTTCCATAATTTTAGGTTGCCATTCCCTGCTAAGACATCTCACAATTTTGTTAGTAGCAACAAAATTGGCAATTACATGACCAAGTGTATGCAAGTGATTCATTATATGAGAAAATCTCTTTTGCATGTCGGCGATGGGTTCACCTTTCTCCATGCGAAAGAGATCAAACTCTTGCGTCAAAGTATTGATTCTAGCCAATTTTACATCGTTTGTGCCCTCATGGGTGACTTGCAAAGCGTCCCACATTTCCTTATCCATAACACAATGTGAGACCCGAAAATACTCATCAACTCCTAGAGTTGCTATGAGCATGTTTCTTGCTTTCCAGTCATAGGCATAATTTTTCTCATCTTTTTTATCCCATTGTGCTTCCGATTTAGGAACGGTTATCCCGACATCATTTTGCATAGTTATTGCAACTGGCCCATCTCGGATAACCTTCCATATTTTCCTATCAACAGACGTGATATGGACACACAAACAATCTTTCCAATAGCTATAATTTTCACCTGAGAAAACGGGTGCTCTAATGTACGCCCCTTTTAGATCACAATCCATTTCTAGAAGTTATATGTGAAGCACTGGACAAACCGGCGCTCTGATACCACTTGTTAGACGATGTGACGAATCTAGAAGGGGTGGTTGAATAGATCCATTTGAAAATTTTGTGCTTTTTGTAAAATTGTTTTTATCAGAGAGCGACAACCCTGGATCTGATCATCTAAACTTTACGTATCGGAAAGATCGGATATGTGAACCAATTTGATGAAAATGATGAGAATAGAATCACAACTAAAATTGAATATGATGAATCACTTTAGCAAGTTTAACAAGGTGTAAGTTATTACCAATTAGTTGTGGAGAAGATAAAGCAAATTTGTGAGTTGTAAATTCACCAAACACACGGTGTACGTACTACACAAGGTTTGGTTATACTCAAATTGTAGTGATTATAGTGATTCAAATGAATGCTATACGAGTTGTAAATTTTAGTTTGTAACTACAATTGTTTTGTATGAATGAGAAAAATTGATAACTCACAAATTCAAGCAAATAGAAATAAAATGCAGAAAACAAAAAGGGACACAGTATTTGTTAAGGCAGTTCACCCTATCATCCTCGCGTGGGCTACTCTGCCCCCAATTCTAGAATCTAGAATTAGGATTATGAAATTAATTTTGCAAAGTTTGTAAGAGAAGATACAATCACCACAATTCAAAGTCACTTGATGAATCTTATATGTTGCACTCCTCTTCCCTTGATTCTTGATGAATCAAGTATGCCAAATCTTGAACAAAATCTCCTTCTACCTTGAATGATTTTGAACCCTAGAAATTGGCCCCAAATCCTTCTTCACAATCCTCCGGTTACCACTACACGATTGAACACCCCACGGTCTTCAATCCCTTAGCTCGGCTGAATTTAATGAAGCAAAGACTTGTGATAAAACCCCCCAATTTTGGAAGACAAAACCCCAATTGTTTTATTCATGAAAAAACCCACAAAGATCTCTACCCAAATCTGAAATCGCACTTTCAATTCGGACATTATCAATACAATCCCAAAAACTTGATCAACAAAAATGATTGTGTGTAGTTGTTGATGGTTGAGGAGAGGTTGAAGATGAAGAGAGCTCTTGTGTCTATCTTTCAATTTTTCTTGTTTTTTTATATTCGGAAAATAGAGGCCAAACAATATATATAAGTGATTCCCATGATGTAACAACATAGCAGAAAAAATGAGACAATTTAGCGATGCGTCGGCTCATGCAGGGTGTACAGAAGGCGTAAGCCTTCCCGAGTGAGAGAGGTTGAAGTTCCTTCAGTCATACGCCGGCTCATTGCCTGATGCGCCGACTCATGTTTTCCCATAACTATGCATCGACGCATAGAGAAGGCGTGCGCCTTCCCAGACGCTGCCAAGCCAAAATCTTCTTCTCATGAGCCAACCTAAGGTTCCATGAGCCGGCTCATGCAGTCTGTTTTGAGAAAAATGCTTGTTTTTGATGTTTCTTACTTGCACCTGTTTAAAGCATGACATATTTGCACATATAGGTTTTGGACAAGCATTAAAACTCAATTTTTCACATTTGCCCTCACAGAAAGGCATATGACCAAAAGTTGGAAGGTAGGGAGGCATGGTTTAGGAGGCAGCGAGCAGTTTCAGTGAGGTGATGGTGCTTTCGTTTAGAGAGACCATTGTGTTCAGGAGTATGGGGGTGGTGTGGTTAAGTGAGAGATACCATTGGCTTGTAAGAATGGTCTAATTTTTATGAATTCTCCACCATTGTCAGAGTAAAGGGTTTTAATTCTAGAGTTAAATTGTCTTTCTACCAAGTTTTTAAAAATTAGAAATATTGTTGAAACATCAGATTTAAGTTTTAGAGGGTAGAGCCAAACATACTTGGAAAAATGGTCCACAAAGATTACATAATAACGAAAACCATCAATTGAATTTACCGGAGCCGGTCCCCATAAGTCTGAGTACAAAATTTCCAAGGGACTAGAACTCAAAATAGAAGACCTTGAAAATGATAGTTTATGACTCTTATTAGAAAGACAATCTAGAAATTTATTAAAGGAACCAAAATAGGAAATATTGTTTGACTTGAGGGCGTGAAGGAGAGTAGGAGGTGCATGATGACCGAGTCTGTGGTGCCATAGTTTGAGTGAGGAGTTGGAGAGTGCATAGGAAATTTGTGGGAATGGTGCATTTAGTTAAAACCTGTACACATTATCTTCATTCAATCCTTGTAGAAGAATCTCCTTCGTATGCAAGTCCTTTACCTCAAAATGCCAAGGGAAAAATTCAATAGAAACTTTGTTAGTTTGGCACAGTTGAGAGACAGATATCAAATTTTGAGTAACATTTGGAACATAGAGAATATCTGACAACTTTAAAGAAGAATTATTTGTGGAAATATTTGTGGAAACAATATGAGTAATGGGAACTTGATTACCATTTGAAACTTGGAGATTGTCAGATCCATGATAGTCTTCTTTGATGGATAAATTTCTCATGTCATTGGTAACGTGGTGGGATGCGTCGGAATCAAATAGCCATGAAGGTGGAGACGAGTGAGAGGCCACTGTTTGTGCAACATGTGCAGTAGGATGGTGAGGCTTGTTTGGGTAGCCATTAATATTGTAGCACTATTTTACTGTGTGGCCAGATTTTTCACAATATTGACATATGACAACATTGTTGGATGTTGGCTTCTTAGTGTTTGGGAAAGTTTGATCATGACCATTATAGTTGTTGCGACTTTGTGAATCATGGTTATGGTGATGATTGTTGCAGCCAGTGTGATGGCGTCCTCGATTGTAGTCGTTGTAATGACGTTGTGCAATGTTGGCAGTGATGGGAGCCGGTGTCGAGATCTGTTCTTCTCGCTGTAAAAACATCTCGAAATCCACCAATTTGTCATAGAGTTTGTTGAAGGAGATTGATGAGTCATGAGTGTGAATAGCAGTAGTAAAGTCCCTGAAGTTCGGTCCTAGACCATTCAAGGCATGGATAACCATTTCAAGGTTATCAATAGGATGACCAATGAGGGCCAATTCATTAGCAATATTGCAGATTGGATGCAAATAGGTTGAGACAGAGGAATTCCCCTTAGTGATTGAACTGAGACGTTCTCGGAGTGACATAATTCTGGCTGCGATCGGTTTGAGAAGGCACGAGTAAGAGCAGTCCAGGCGTCATAAGAAGTATCTGAAGCCGCCATGACAGATCGTGCTTCAGAATCACAGGAGCCAAGAAGAGCAAGATAAATTAGTTTATCTTGTCTGATCCATAAGGAATGCTCAAGATTTGGTGATGTAGTTTCACCGGTGATAATAGTAGTAGGAGGACACTTCTTTGTGCCTGTAACAAAACCTTCAAGGTCACGAGCAATGAGGAGTGCACTGCACTGTTTGTACTATGCAGGGTAATTGGTTCCATTTAACTTAATTGGAAGGTGAGAATTTGTGTTGAATTCCATAAGTTCTTTAAGGTTAGAGTTGTTGTTTGGTGCTGCCATGATAAGAATCAGTAAAAAAAGCCATGAATCAATGGCTATTCTGATACCATAGAGAATATACAGAATGTGTATATTTTAGTTGTATTATTCACATGAATGATGATTGGAATAAATAGGAGATACATGATAATGTAGATTAATTTATTGCCAACAATAGTATAACAGATCAGCTAAAACTAATGCAACAAATCAATACACATAATGACTAATATAAATATATAAGAACTATACAACATTTTCAAATTGTAACAACTACTGTTATAATTAAGGAGCTGCTAGAGGAAAGGATCAAGTAACTAATGTTGCAGTTACGTGTCTGTGCTAATATAATTAACGCATTTATCATGAACTCTGAACAATTAGAGAATTTTAGATTCCCTCCTCCATGAAGCTTCAAGATATACTTTGCCAACAAAGCACCACTCCTGTTAGCCTCCCTGTGAATTTTTAACACTTTGACCATCAGAAAGGAAGCCACAATGGTTTTGACTTTACAGATTAAGTTCATTTCCTACAACTTAATCTTATTACCCCAAATAACATTAACAGCTTCTTGGTTATCTATTTGAATTCCAACTTTATTATAGTCTTTTTTGAGAGCTAATTTTAAACCTTCGTAGACACTCCAAAACTCCACAGTTAAAACATTACACTTTCCCACACTTTTGGAGAAACCGCCCAACCAAACACCATCACTGTTTCTCATTAAACCACATCGTGCTTCACTATTTATGTAAGTTTTGAAATGGAAATTAACCCTCTTAAAAATGGAAAAAGGCATCTCTATTTTTAGAGAAACTAATAAAAACTACCATATTACATTTATGTCACTCAACTCTTCGTTATTTTGAAACTTTTTGTATATGCTCTTTCTTTTAAAATTTAAAAGATAACTTCTTTTTTGAAATTAGAAATTCTCTTTGATTAGTTGCCATATAAATCAAATTTTATAAATTCTGTAGACGAGAGATAACATTAAACTCAAATAAAATTATATAATGATATAACATATCTTCATGACAAAGAATATCCCATAAAATTACATAGATCACATGGTTATGGTAGAATATTTTAAAGTGAACCTAATCTAAGAGAAGTAGCTATTATTCCTGAAGGGATTTATGACTTTAAAATTAGAAAGAATCACCTAATGCTATCTTTCATTTTCCCCTCTCTTTGCTATAAAATATAAATACTTACTGATCACTTAATGCTATCATTCATTTTTCCCTTTCATTGGTACAAAGAATTCCTTAGACTCTCTAAAAATCATAACTTTAATGACTAAACCATTTTTCAATTAACAAGGCAATAATAGAATGTTTTATATGTCTTGCAATTCTGGCAGTTATTTTGGATCTCTCCACTGGTCTTGCGAGCACACCTCTTTTACTATTTTGAATTAGATAGTGCCCCTATGTTTGAAAGGTTTGCCGCTACGATTGTTTCTTGAGATTTTCCATGATTTTCTATCCTTATTTGTCTTATAATCATCTCTTCCTTTTATCATCGTAACTTTCATAACGAAATACTATGAAATTTTTGAGGTTATATTGATTTTTTTATCGATTTAATCATTTTCATGAATCTTCGGAATTTCTATTAAAAACCTATAAAACAGAAATTAATTAACACTAAAAGTACTTAAAAACAATGAAAATGATTACTAAAAACATAGTGTGAGCAGGGCCGGTCCAAGGGTCAAGCCACCTAGGCTAGGGCTTTAGGCCTCAAAATTTTGGGCTTAAAAAATACCTCAAAATATTTTTATTTAGTTATAATAATACATAATGACACATTGGATGGATAAGTTATCATAGTTGAGTTGGTAAAATTTAGGTTTTTTTTTTCTTTTGGTCTTGAGTTCAACTATTAGAAACCATAAAATTATTATTTTAAAATACATTTTAAAAGCCTCATTTTAAAATTTTCTTTAGGCCTGCAAACAGGTTGGGTCAGCCTTCACCAGCCACATAAATGAGAACTTTATTTCCAAACTCCATATAGATAGATTTTTGGACTCTTTAGATTATGAATCATTTGAGACATGTGAACTTTGTTTATTAAGAAATATGATAAATAGCTTATTATAAGAAAAGTTGAAAGGAATAATAATCTTTTATCCCTTATACATACCGGTGTATGTGGGTCACACCACACATTATCCATATGTGAGCCACTAATCACATTTACTAATAATTATAGTAGATATGAATATATGTATCTAATGCAACACAAATAAGAATATTTTGAAAAGTTCAAAGACATCAAAAGTGAAGTTGAAAATCAACTAAGTAAGAATAATAAGACACTTAAATCAAATCTAGGTGGTGAATATTCAAGCATATAATTTGATGAATATGTGAAATAGTGTATGATCTTATCCCAACTCACCCGTCATAGAACACCATAATGGAATGATATTTTTGAAAGGAGGAACTAAAACCTGGTTATACATGGTTTAGTCGATGATGAGTTGAGAAGATATTCTAAAATTCTTCAGAGACATACTCTATTAGATATAACTTACACACTTAATCGTGTTTCATTCAAAACTATGGAAAAGATACCATTTGAGATGTAGACTAGAAAGAAAGCAAGTATGTCTTACATGAAGATTTAAGGCTTAGAAGTGTGTGTGAAGTAGAAAATTTCTACTAAACTTAAGCCAAAATATAATAAATTCTTCTTTGCAACGTGTATGTCGCTCAAAATTGTGGCATTCCTAGAAATAGAATTTGTTTCCAATGTTACCAATGGGAATAAAGTGGTACTTGAATAAATTCAAGAATCATAGAGTAGTGACACACTAATGAAGGATCAAGGAAATATTACACAATATTTCATGTATGAACAACCTTCTCAAGTCACACAAGAACAATGTAAGTCAAACATGATATATCACCAACTCGATAGATATGGACTTTTCGTAACCAGACAAGGTGGTGTGTTATACATCATGAAAAAGAGCCTGTGACATACCAATGTTTCATTGTTGGACCTAAATATGATAAGTGGCTAGAGTCCATCAAATATGAAATGGACTACATGTTCACTAACCAAGTATGGAATTTTAAGGAGTCACTTGAATGGGTTAATCTCAATAGAGTTAAAATGGGTTTTCAAAAAAAAGTCAAACATGGAAGGTAAGTTACATACCTATAATGTATTACTGGTTTATAAAGGTTTCAAGCATATTTTTGGTGTAGACTATGATGATATTTTTTCACAAATTGCAATGCTTAAGAATGCTTGGATTCTACTTGTCGTCATTGTATACCATGATTATAGAATATGGAAAATAAATATCAAGATTACTTTCTAGAGTGGAATATCCTTAAGGATTTGTACATGACAAAACCTAAATGATTTGGAGATATGAAGTGTGGTTCTATGTTCCATGTAGGTACTCTTGGTTTTAATGATGACAAAAGGAAGTAAAGCAAAATCATAAGCATCATCATGAAAATAAAGAAATGCGAATATAATAGAAAATCGAGAAGGTTTCTGAGGATGTACACAAAGATAATCAAATTTAAAAATATCCATCAAGAAATAAAGTCATATGTAAAAAGCTCACCAACTATCCTTGTTTTATCTATGTAATTTCTTTGTAGGATCTTATATTAAATGTCAGTAGCTTTCAAAGTACTAATATAATGCATACACACTCAAACATTTTTGTAAGATTCATATATTTTCAAAATATTTTAAAAATGATTTAAGCCAAATACTAATTAATTATGGAGCTTAATTAATCAATTAGGAAGCAAAATTTTTCTCTCTAGTCAATTAGGACTCAAGACATTTTTGTAAGCTTCATATATTTTCAAACAGACAAGGATCTTTTATTTGAGGAAAGCGCATTAACTGTCATTTATCAAGTTTCCAAATACTCAAGATTGTTGCGCCTATTTAAACAAGGGATGAGGATAAATCATTTATGATTTACACACTACAATTTACAATACTTCAACGCTGCTATCCTTTCTACTCCTCATTCTTACTATTCTATAAACTGTGTAATACATCACAAGTCTGTGATACTGTTTTTGTAAGAAAAAACATACTGTACACTGCTTTATTCATATTTTGTTTAAGCGAAATACCTTGAGAAAAACCGGGTTGTTGCTATACTAAAGAAGACTTCGGTAGTAGTCAAATTATATTTGTAATCAAGTTTGATTAGTGAATTAAGACCTCGTTGGAGAGAGGCGAAATCACCTTGGCGGATGGACTGGAGTAGTTTGAGTTCAAACGAACCGGGATAAAAATCATCGTGTTATTTCCATTGATTTTTAAGATTCCAATACAACTCCCCTTCTTGTGTTTTTCAATTCTTCAATTGGTATCAGAGCGCCTGGTTCTGAGTTCAAGCACTTAACCGTGTCAGTAAAAGATCCAAGCTAAGAAAAACACTATGGTGGGACCAATTCAGAACATCAACAATGACTACCTCGATGAGAAAGACAGAATCAGCAGCAAACTTCCAACATTTGATGGAGAGAACTTTGATTACTGGAAAGACAAAATTGAAAGCTTCTTTCTGGCTCATGACGTTGATCTCTGGGATATGGTAATTGATGGGTACGTGCATCCCGTGGATGAAAATGGTTAGAAGATTGA